TCCATCCCTAAACTAATGGCCTCACTGAAGTTACCAATAGAACCATATTGTGAGGGCTAAAGATGAGATTAGATGGAGAAAAAGATAACTGTGTAGAGGAGCTAAACAGTGTACTCTAGGTATACAGGACCACATCTCGACATGCGATAGGTCAAACCCCCTTCTCCCTTATATATGGAACCGAAGCAGTAGTACCGGTAAAGATAGGCATCCTAATAAAAGAACAATTGAACATAAAGAGCTCAATAGCAATGAAAGTCTAAAAATCAACCTAGAGTTAGCAGAAGAACTCAGAGAAGATGCTGCAGTCCGAGCTGAAGCATGTAGACAAAGGATGCAAAGATACTTCAATAGGTGAGTACAAAGCAGGCAGTTTAAAGAAGGAGATAAGGTATGGCGAAAGACAGAGATAACAAAGGGCTCGGTAGGAGTAAGCAAATTGGGATAGAATTAGAAGGCCCATATGAAATTACAAAGCAGCTAAGTCCAAGCATATAAAAGCTCAGAAAGATTAATGGAACTGAGCTACCTCGAACATGGAACGCAGACAACTTAAAGAAAACATATTGTATTTCCATTCAATAAAATGTAAGGTAGTTTTAGAATGAAATAATAAAGAAGATCTCAAGTTTTTTCACTTAATATATCATGTCTCATACAGATTAGAAAGGCATGATATATTAAGTTTTTCCTAGAAGATCTTACTTAGAAAAATTTTTAATACTTTTATACTTCTTTTCCTAACCATATCCATCTTCAGATAGTTTTGTACCTTTTCCTAAACCAATCCATCACTTCGCTTCAGCAGTCCATCAGTTCAAACTTTTAGCAGTCCACCAATTCAACTTCAAGCAATCCATCAGTTTAGACTGTTAGCAAGTCCATCAGTTGGGATTTAAGCGATCCATTCAGTTTGGACTTTAACCGATCCATCAGTTTGGACTTTAACAATCCATCAGCTTGACTTGACTTAACGATCCATACAGCCCCTTGACTGACTTTAACAATCCATCAGCTTGGACTTGAGCAGTCCATCAGCTCAGACTTTAGCAGTCCATCAGCGATGCGCTTAAAGCGATGCGCTTAAAAAATCCATTAGCGAGGTACTTAAAAAGTGCCTCCCCTTAAATGGACTTTAATACCACAAAAAAGTTAGACTTGAAAACAGTATATGTAATTCCGACCTTAACACTCCTCTTTATCTATTGATTTAAGACAACTAAATTTATACCATAATGTGATACTGACACTTTAGTTCGCCAATCTAAACAGAACATTTACACATTATTTCAGTTTATGCATTATCGGAAGAAGCAAAAAATTAAAATACACACAACACTTAAATAGGAATAATAAATAAGGATTTTTTTCATTAAAACAAAACATAAGATGTCACACAAAGATGATTAAAAGGATCTGCTACACTAAGTGCATAAGTTCACATAAGAATCTAAACCACCTCCCCCTTCCAAATCCCCCTTCCAAATGTAGCTCCACATTTGACCCCTGATCCATAAGCACATTCGAAGGGATTTGAGTACCCATTCGTTGTTTGGTATCAGGATCAACCAAAGGATCTTCAGAAGGGGGATCCTAGTGAGCTGGTGAGATGGAAGGAGGATCTTCTGACACAACACCATCACCAATAAACTTGCCTTCTTCTTCTTCCTCATCATTAGGATATACCTTATCAACCCAGCACTAGTCTTTGTCTAGATCTCGAGCTTTTAATTCAGCCATAATTTTAGCCCTAAGGATCAGACAAGCCTTGGCTAGATCCTCCTCCACTGAGCCCTCTTGAGCCCGAAGCCTTTGAATCTCATTCTCCAACTCCTGGTTTTTAGCCTCCAAAGCCTTGATCTTTTCAGCTTGGGCTTAGATCTCCTCTTGAAGTTTTTCGTGTTTGGCATCCCAAACAACAATCTTCGCCTTGTACCATGCCTCCTACTCCTTCATGGCAGAGTCTAGACTCTTCAAAGCCTCCTCCAATTGAACCTTCTTCACCTCTATCTTTGTGTATGCCCCTTTTAACTTATTTATACGAGCAAAACTAAGGTTGTTATCATTTATTTCCTGGAAGAGACTCTGGTTGGCAAGGTCCCTCATTGCTAGATCATCCAAACACTCGTACTAATGAAGATCCATGGGAAAAAGGCAGTTATGGGATATCTAATGGCTAAGTTAGTCACTTTACAGACTATAGTTCGGTCCATGCTTCTTCAAAAAAATAGGTTCGGATATCTAAGGCCTTGCCTGGTTAAGAAGGAAGAGGGAGAGGAATAGGAACCATCACTTCTTGTGGCCTCTTCCTACTGGGCTCAGTTGAAGGACTTGTAGCAACATACTCAACATGAGCAGAATCGGAGACAACACCAGCGTTATCTGTCAGAGGATCAAGTATCACTAGAGGAGTCCCCTTATCCAATCTCTCCGCTTTGGCATTTTTATTCATTGCCTCAGCTATTTTTGACATCTTAGAAGCCTTTGCCTTTTTAGTAGCCATCTCTGCACAAAAAAGAAAAAAAAAAGAGAAATTTAAGAAAGTTAATTACAAGAGAGCAACACTTATACAAAGAGAAACTAAACTTACTAGAAGGCGAGGGGTTTGATCTTATGGGCCCGCTAGAAGAGTAAACTGGGTAACCCTTGACAATCACTTACCTCAGGTTCACAGATCTTAACCCCCTAGCTTTTATCAATTCCACACATTATCGATCCTCAGGGGTAGGCAAAGTTGGGAGATGATGAGTGGGGTCATTAGACCATTGGTTCGGTACCCCGAACCCACATGGATGCCGAACTATGAAAAACTTATGTTTCCAATTTTTCAAGGAAGAAATCTTTGACTATTTAGAGAAGATGCTACAATTATTCTTCAGTTGAAGGAAACAGTGGTCTTCGTTTACTCTGAGATGTAGATGATAGAGTTCCCTCACCCCTCGAGTTGTAAGAACCGTCCCTTCTCAGCAAGCCGACTCCACTATACCACATAGAAATCTTAAACCATTAGGGTGGAGTTGGCTGATTGTGATGCCGTATTCACTGAAAAAAGATTTCAGAGGCTCGGATAGAGGTAGTTGAACCCCTGATTAAAAGTCTCCTCTTATAGCATAATGGACTCACTATCTAACGCTTCATTTGCTCTCATATAATCTAAAGGGCAAGCCAACTTATACTCTAGCATGATGCTATACATCAAGAAGCTTGCCCTCATCGATATCAGAGGGAACATTGGCGATCCTAACATTCTCCCTTTTAGCTTTTGCTTCGCCAACCCCAAATTCAATGGCTTTATCTTCAGACTGCTCAATTAAAACTTAAACGTCTTCATCGCTAGACGAACCCATGATTTCGCCAAAAGTAAATAAAAAGTAATACAAAAAGCTATAGAACTTACTAGAGAGAGAAATAAGTTTTTAGAGAGAGACGTTTTGATATTTGGAAATGTTGAGAGTGAAGCAAATGAGGTAAGGTGAAAGCCTTATATAGGGAAGGTGGAGTACTCAAAGGTCACCACATTTAATGAAGTAACTCTTGGAGTACCCCTTGACAAACGAACCCAGCATCTTGTTTACCTCAAAAGGAACTATTTTTTTTCTAACAACTTTTGCAGACAAAAAAAAAAAAAAAAAAAAAAAAGTACCAAAGGGCACTACATTTAATGAAGTAATTCTTGGACTACCCCTTGACAAACGAAATTGGAACTATCTTTTTTTCTTATTAACGTCTGCAGACCAAAAAAAGGAACAAAACAACAACAAAAACAAAGCATATACCAGTATTTGCACATAAATGAACCAAATAATTAAAGGGAACTACTAATTAATATACAATGATAAAATAAATAAAAGAATAATATAAAGATATTAGACTCCTAAATAAACTCTGAATTAACAATAAGCTAAGATTCCTTACTTATCCTTATTCTAACGATAATTATTTCTCCTTAATATAAATATTCACAAATTTCACTCAATCTTCAAATTCTGAGAGAGGCTAACCAATTTATAAATACATAGAATTGACGTATTAGGTTTATATAATGATGAGATAGATAGATAGATAGATAAATAGCCATGATTCATTGATACGTATATATATATATATATAGATAGATAGATAGATTGAATAAAATAGATAGATAAGAGGAACACCATTCTCTTGACTCTATATTCTCCATTTATTAGAATAACATTTGAGTCTTGAACATGTTAATATGTTGAGCATAAAGCCTAAGAACCAGGTCATTATGCAAAGTAACAACAATTAAAGAACTTTTTTTCTATTCATTAATTGAGAGGCCAAATGAGTCAGAATAGCATTGTAAGATACAATGATAGGGGTTATAAGTCTCTTTCAGGCGTACCAAATTGGTGGAAAATCCTTATAATTGAGAGATCTCAAATCTTAGGTTTTTCACTCCCCATGCTCTTATAGAAGGTGAGAAGACCAGCTAGACCACTCTTATTGATTTTTTTTTTTTTAACTACGAGAATTAAAGAAATTTTAGTTTTGTTATAGTATGATTATTTATAAGGTTAGGTTGCACTACGGTAGTATGGAAGTATGAACGAATTACATAATTAGCAAATGAACCTAAGGATGATTATGCAAAATAAAAAAATATTTGTCTATAGCGAATATATCATATAATCAGACGATAGGTAATTGTTATTTGAAAAACTGCAACCTTTTTGTTAGGAATCTCACATTGATTAAATACCCAACCTACAAAGGGCATATAAGGATGGCAAGCTAGCTAGCTAATTAGTTAGTACTAACCTTTTACCATTGGTTGGCCCAAGCCCAAGTAAGCCCACATCTATATTTTCACCTCATCGGTTCTAACCTCTTACCCAGTTTACCTCTACCCTTTCAATTTGTAATACTTTTATTATCTTACATGAAATAAGATTGAAATTCACTCTTAATAGATTATGAGACTAGTATAGATGTAATTGTCCATATTGAACATATTATTAATGGAACTACTCAAATAACTTTTTTTTTGTGCAATGTGTAGTGATTTGTCCTACAACAATTTCACAACTCAAAGCACATGTCAAGAACGTAACATGTAAAAAACTTCAGTCTCATTATTCTCTCTTTCTTTATCTCTCTCTCACACACACATGGTAGCTAAATGATCAAATTTCTTGTTGCTTCCACAGAAACTTATTTGCGAGCTCCTTAATGGGCAATGTATCGTAAGTTTGTTTATTTTTTTTCTTCTTTTTTTGAGGATTTGAATCATATATATGTTTATATATTCATTTATTATTGCTTGTATTATTTTGCAGAAATACTGTTTTTTTTTTTTTGAGGATTTGAATCATTTATATGTTTATATATTCATTTATTGTTGCTTGTATTATTTTGCAGAAATACTGTTTCATGTTTAAAAAACTTTGGTTGCCCAAAAAGTAAGTAAAGTTTTGTTTTTTTTTTTATTATTTTGAACTTATAATTTTAAATTATAATTTAGAGCCTAGAATAGGCCTGGGCTTATGGTTAGGTCCAACTATTACTAAAATAAGCAGAAATGGACATTGCCTAAAAGCCATAAAACTCATATGCCCTTTAACCTTTTAATTTCTATGGGCCTCGTTTATATATTGCACAACCTAAGAGGGAGAGTGAATTGGGTTTTCTAAAAATTTCACATTTTAAAAACACAAGATCAGAATACTGTTCTAGTGGAATTAGAAAGCGTTAGTAAGGATCAGTTATCAAGTTTAGAACTTCTCCACAAAGCTATTGCAAGATTAGAAAGACTCTGTGAAGAACAGTTATTATGTTTAGAACTGCTTCACAAAGCTTATGTAAGTTTAGAAAACTGATTATAACTCAGATTGTGATTATAACTCAGATTGTGATTACAACAGGATATAAAAAGGATAATTAGAACTTGGTAATAATCACAATAAGAATCCAGAGTTCTAAAGATAAAAGCTTATTCACGTTTAGAAACAGAAACCTTAAAAACAACTTAGCAATTTCTGAAAAGATTAATAGTTGTGTAAACAGAATATAATTAAGCCAACACTTCAGAAAATAAAGAAGATAAACACAGAGATTTAAGTGGGTTCGGCAACTAACTCCGCCTACATCCACCCCCATGACTCATCTTTTCAGGGTAAGAGACAAACCCTTTACAAAAATAGTCAACACAAACCAACTTTACAAGAAAATAGATCAACACCTAGATCCAACCTTTGTCCCACTAGATTTCTAAAGGTTCTAGTCAACCTCAACCCTTTCTATTTTGCAGAGAACCGAAAACTCACATCAAGACATTAAATCTCACACAATGAGAAGGTTGCTTGATAAATTTTTTACACCATAGCTTTTCACCTAAGCTATTACACAAATATTTTTCGTTTAGAATCCTTTAGCCTACAACAAATTACAAGAATCTATATAGACAGAGAGAAATGCAATTATAAGCACAGGAAGAACCAAACAGATTTTAAAATAGAAGGAAAGTTCAGAACTGTTCTTCAGAAAATGTTATTACCAGATTTCTTTTCTCTTAAAAAATATCTTTTAAAGCAAATAGATGAAAATAAATGAAGGGGGTTGAACAGAGAGCTTTGAGAGATCTGAAACTTTGAACAATTAACTCTTACCCTTATAAAAACCACATTTTTTCAAAAGAGGAAAAACGTTTTTATAAGAGGGATGAATATCCCGTTATAAAAGATGTTGAAGTTTTAGCTTTAATGAGTATTTTGACTTTTTGAAAATAAAAAGATAGAGTATGTGAATCTTTTACAAATACTTACAATACTCGATTATTGTTACAAAAAAATAATTTTGCCAAAAAATCTTTTTTTAGTTAGTTAAATGAAATTGGAAAGAGCAAAAATGTGACATTTTTTAAAGGTAATTTTCGAGAAATATCTCAAAAATGATTTGAAAGAATAAAAAGAGATATTTGTGCTTATAAGGAATATTATCTCTTATCCTACAATATTTTCTAAGATGCTAAACCCCAAAGCTTCAATAATCTTCATGGTCTTCAAAAAATCTTGGGATTATAGATCTTGATTTCTTTAGCAACTTCCATATTAAAAATCTGCATAAAATAATTTAAGCACATACAAAAATATTAAATTATTTGTTTCGCGTATGCATCAAAATCTCAAGATAAAAATTGACGCCCTTGAGCCAACATTTCCACATGTTTTGGAAACAAACAAAATAAATGGATTTTGAAAAATAGAATCAATGTTTCCTCTTAGTAACTTCAATACCAATAAAATAGATTTTACTTTTATGTAACATTTGTTGTTAACATTTTGTGCTTAGCTTTCTAATTCTTTGCATATAAATTGTGGAGGGGAATATACAGCTAAACCTAATTAATGGAAGCCTTATATGAAACGATGATAGATAGAGTGGACCTTCAACAGTTCTACAAAAGTAGAACTAACTGGGGCATTTAGCATACTGGTAATCTTCATGGATGATTCTAAGAATGGCAGATCCCTATAATCGCCAACAAAACACAACAGAGCTCTCGTAGGCACTTCCTATCATTTACATGACTGCAGGCATTTCTCCAATCTCTCTTACTTATTATGGTTTCTGCATGGGGAATGGGAAATTACAACAGGTTTTGCCTCCATGCCAGAGTGGCCTCCATTTTGCAGAGATAATGTTTACTAATGATAATACATATAATAGCCTTGGAAGGCGCATTTTTGATATTTACATTCAGGTATGTAGCTTATCAATTTAATATAATGTCTCGATGGAATAGCAAAGCATTAAGGATGGATAATTAGCCATGGAAGGTACATCTTTGATAAGAAATTTGGTAGCTATTAGTAACTCTATTTATTGGTGGAATATTGCAATTTAGCTACGAACTAATCTAGTTGTCGATTGGCTTGAAGTGTAATTTGGATATAAAATAGTTAATGTCATAGTTATGTTACCTTTGACAGAAAAAGCTTATGCAAAAGGATTTTAACATTGAGGATGAAGCTAGTGGGGCTGGTAAGGCAACTATAAAAAATTATACCACCATTGTTACAAATCAAACATTGGAGATACGCCTTTATTGGAATGGAAAAGGGACAACTAGTATTCCTACTGGAGGAGTTTATGGTCCTCTTATATCTGCCATCTCTATCATTCCAAGTGAGTTAATGACCTCTATAAGCTTTTACTTCTAGTGTAAACCATTATTAAAGTTAGAGGTATAACATTGCTTTTCTTTTTCATGCTTTCTTAAATTGAAAAATCTTTTTAATATTCTTTCCACATGTAGATTTTGTCCCCCCTTCGGAAGGTAGTAGTAGTAGTATTTCTGCAAGCACAGTAGTTGGTATTGTGGTTGTTGTAGTAGCTATCATCTTCCTAGTTCTGTGTGTCCTCTGGTGGAAAGGTTGTCTATGGCATAAAGATATAATAGACCAAGGTATTTCTCATTATTCACTTATTTGTTTATGTTGCTATTTCTGTTGTTTTCCACTTCATTTGAGATTTTTTGAATTGATACGTCAACTTTATACTCCAAGAATTATAAAATTAACTAATACATATTTATTTTACTTGGATGAAATATTATTTATTTATATAAATAATGTTTTTAGTTTTCATGAAAAAAACTCTGAGAAAAATCTATTTCTTTAACAGATCTTTAACAGATTTAAGGGGCCTAGACTTAAAAACAGGTTCGTTTACATTGAGGCAAATAAAAGCTGCTACAAACAACTTTGATCGTGCTAATAAAATTGGAGAAGGTGGTTTTGGTCCTGTTTATAAGGTATCGAGTACAAAGTTACACTTTCAAAATGAAAGACCTCACACTTTGTTTAATGAAACACAACACAAAGTAATTGAATGTATTTTTAATATAAATGTTGCACTACAGATTAATTTAATACAAGTAGATTAAATGTATCCATTATGGCTGACCAAATGTAGTCTTACATGAATGTTCAAATATATCTTCTTTAATGCAGGGCCTTCTTTCAGATGGCACTATAATTGCAGTAAAGCAGCTTTCCTCTAAATCAAAGCAAGGAAATCGCGAATTTGTGAATGAAATTGGCATGATTTCTGCTCTGCAACATCCTCACCTTGTAAAGCTTTACGGATGTTGTATTGAAGGAAATCAATTATTGGTATTGAAGGAAATCAATTTTGCTAGTGTAATTACGAGTTATGGAAAATAACAGCCTTGCTGTGGCTTTGTTTGGAAAGTCTAACAAATATCCTAACTAAATATGAATAGTTATATATAATTATATATCAACCTCTTTAGGCTTACTTTAAGTATAATGACTTAAAAGGTCCTGAAGAACACCGATTAAATTTAGATTGGCCTACAAGACAGAAGATCTGTGTTGGTATAGCAAGAGGTTTGGCTTTTCTTCATGAAGAATCAAGGTTGAAGATTGTACATAGAGACATAAAGGCCACCAATGTTCTTCTTGATAAGAATTTGAATCCAAAGATATCTGACTTTGGTTTAGCCAAGCTTGATAAAGAAGAAAATACCCATATAAGCACTAGAATTGCTGGAACCTTGTGAGTTTCTATTCACTTCTTGCAATTTTTATTCTCTTTTCTTTTTTCCAACTTTAATTTCAAAGAAGTTAGAAAAAATAGATTTTTTTTTCTACAATATTAAATGTGTAGAATAATTTATTTGATGTATTCTACTTCTTTACCTATAATAACATGAATAATTAAACTTCAATCCCAATTGAATCTGAGAATTTAAGTATTCTTATGCTGGCCATAACTTACTCCCATCCTACTTTTTAACCTAGGCTTAGGATGATCCACTATACTTTCCTAGACTCACACACACGAAGTTGTGTCAATATATTACTTACAATTATATATTACAGAAAACAATATATAACTTACAATAAAATATTATTTATTGTGAAATGAGTTTCTTTTTTTAAAATGTGAAAATGGATATACGAAGATTCTAAATTTAAGTATATGTAAGATATTAAATTTTTATTCAAAAAGGAAGACAAATATAAATGCCTAATATATTATATTATTGATATTGCAGTGGGTATATGGCACCTGAATATGCAATGCTATTGATATTGCAGTGGGTATATGGCACCTGAATATGCAATGCGTGGTCATTTAACTGATAAAGCAGATGTTTACAGTTTTGGAATTGTTGCCCTAGAAATTGTTAGTGGAAGAAGCAACACTAGTAATCGGCACAATATGAAGAAGGATGACTTTTATCTTCTTGATTGGGTAAGAAAATCTCTTGTTTTCTTGCCAATTTTTCCCAAGAAAATTTCTTTCCTACACCTAATATATAGGTGGTCCCATAAACCAAGCCAATCAAACAAAGGTTTTTTTTTTTTAAAATGTTATTTTTTTTATCCATTTTTCTAAGTGTGTGACCATACAAGGTATGTATAGATAAGTATTTTCCTTTGAATTTAAATATTTTTTATTAGCTTAATGTATGGATGGGTTCACACTAGGAGTAGTAATGATTTGCAAAGGATTGAAATCCAAGGAATTAGTTATTCATTCAATTAAAAGGAAAATGAATATTATGCCTATATTCGTAATTAAGCACAGAGGATTTTCTCAACTATATATTGGACTGAGTATAGTTTAGTAAATCCAACCAAAATGAATTGGTTAAGCTTGATAATTGATTCAAATTTGGTTTTTGTAAAAAACAATTCAATTTAGTTTGCTTTTATTACACCCTAAAAAAAGCTCAAATACATACTAAAATAACTTAAAACCAAACCAAATTGATAGAGCCAATTTAATTCAATTAGATTTTGATTCTAGATATAATTTGTTTGGCTCGATTTTCCTCTTAAAAATTTCAGTTTATTTAATTTGTACTAATTGGGTTTTGATTTAAGCCAAATCGACTGAATGCTTATCCCTAACTATATATCTTTGTATAATTTTTCTTAGGCATGTGTTTTAAAAGAGAAAGGGAGTTTATTAGAGCTAGTAGATCCAAGACTAAGCAAAGACTACAATAAAGAACAGGTTGAGACAGTAATCCGTGTGGCTCTTTTATGTACTAATGTCTCTCCAGCAGTTAGGCCTGCTATGTCTTCAGTTGTGAGCATACTTGAAGGAAAAGCTTCAGTTCAAGACTCCAAATTGGATTCAAGTGTTTTACATGACGATTTCTACTATTCTCTCCAAGGCAGTTAGGCCTGCTATGTCTTTAGTTGTGAGCATACTTGAAGGAAAAGCTTGCAGTCAAGACTCCAGAATTGGTTCAAGTTGTTTTAGCATGACGATTTCATGGTTTGAAGGCATGAGAACACTTTTCAGGCAAATCAGTTGGACAAAAACATCGTAAAATACAATCGATAGCCAAACTCAAAGTATGCAATTGGAGGGCCCTTGGACTGCTTCTTCTACATCTGCTAAGGATCTTTATCCGATATCTTTAGGTTCTGAATACTGGGAAAATAGAAATTTGATAAATAATTAAATGTATCAATTGCATGTTTTTAACTGTAATTGTAATAAAAGGACGTTTGAATATCTTGAATATATGAGAAATCATAATTGGTTTCACAAAGTTAGACATTGTTTCATCTTAAAAAAGTTATTGGTTTTATTTTTATTTTGATCTAGGAGAATTGTTGACCTGCACTTCATTTGTTTTCATGCAATAAATTCCATATGAAAGAATATTCTTTGAAGAAAATTTGTATGATATGATTGAAGAATATGGACTTACATGTGTTGGAGGAGCCATCTTCTTTATTTCAAGGGTTTTTTATTGTTGATTTAGTTAGGAACATATTGCCTAGAGTAGTTAGTTTCTTGGTTCTGAAGACATCCTTTGCATGGAAAAGAAAAAAAAATGATATTGTTAATGCTAGTCCAAAACTTGAAAGCCGACACACTTAGAGAGCCAAAAGTGAGGCCTAAAACTGATATGAAAATGATATTGTTAATGCTAGTCCAAAACTTGAAAGCCGACACACTTAGAGAGCCAAAAGTGAGGCCTAAAACTGATATGGCCTTATAAGAAATTATTCAGCCTGATTACATTCCCGACCAAATATATTATATGTATATTTTGTATATATTTTTGCTACTTATTAATTTCGTGAATAGCTAATTTGTTGCATTATTACACATACATGAGTATATGTAGGGTTAGATTATGCATAATACAAATAGGATTGTAAATATTGTTTAATAAAAACGTGAATCAAATATAAAAACCCTTTTTATCTTTTCATGTCTCTCAATTTCTTTATATTATTTCTTAATCTCTTTTTCACCTTAGACTCTTCGTGTCTTCTCAGGATTAATGAGATTTTGTCTATATATCAAAAAACTTTGATGATGGCTCATTAAAGCCTATATATTTGCACAGGCCAACTTTAGACATTGAGAAGCTAGTTTGATGATTTCTTATATCTCTTGATTGCATATTATATTACTTAACATCTATTGGGATGAATAATATCTTAGAACACTTAGTGGGACCACACCAAATTAGTGAAGACCATTATTTAAAATGGTTAAAATTGACAAAAACATCAATGATCCTAAGGACCTCGAGAAGACTCTATATAAGCTGAATATTCATAACACCTCAAGGAATGAAAATGCTTTGACATCTTAGTTGATACTCAAGCCCATGCTATCTAGAGCAAACCTCAGGAACATCTGCTCTTAGATAGCAGAAGAGAATCATATTGTGGTTCTAGTATGGTTGATTTGATTGCTACGACCACAAGATCTTTCATCCTCAACAACCAACAAACATAGAAGGATTTCTAAGTGGCAATGAAGGAACTTCCCATGTTTTGGCTAAGTAGAATCACACTCTAAGGATAGCTCAGCCAAAATCATTAAATGAATAAGGGGTATTGGACCAACAAGAACCTCCTAGCATAATCGTACATAAAACACAACTCCCTAATTAGTAACAAGGTATATGATACAATAGGCAATATTGTGCCCTTAAGGACAGTTGGACAATCAAGATAGGATACAAATTCCAACTTTCGATAGCAAGAGACATGCACAGAGTACGATTTAACAATTTGCTTACTACTTTAACAAAGTTAGGGTTTGAATTTTGAGTCGGCAATTTGACTAACATACAAAAGGCCATATGGGATGTTAAGTTTTACCTATTTTGAATAATAATCTTAAATTCAAATTATTTTGAGGGTAAGATATCAACCCCACAATTGAACATATATTGAGATTCATCCCACAATGTAGAGAATGTAAAGCGAATCATTGTTGAAAACTTGAGTTGTTAATTTGGTAATCCTTTAACGAAGTCAGCCTTTACTTGGAATTATCTTATCGCAAAAATGCTTCAACTAAGGGTTAGTGGATGTTGTAGAGATAAGATATGAGATGGATGATAATCTCATTCTCTGGAGAGAAAGGGAAAGTGTAAGAGAGATGTCATCCTCATTATCTTCTTCTTCTTCACCGTTAACAACAGAATTTCCATCGATAAAAGTGATTATCAACCAATTGTCGACGGACATCCATTTCTCAATAAATCCATGATAAGTAAACTTTTACTGACCGAATAATTTGTCATCAGTAAATTGGTTATAAATGGAATCCAATAGTTGTTGGAATTCCATTGGTAAAACTTTTGTTAGTATTTTGTAGTGGTTTCGTTGTCATATCTGTTGGCATTTTGTTGCCATATTTTTAATTTAATTGTTTTTCATCAGGAAAGTCTAGGTGAATGATTAGTAAAGTTTAAAATAAAATTACTAAAAAGTCAGTGTCATCTGTAAAGTATGGATAATCTATCTGTATAATTTAAATTAGTGATCTGTCGGTAAAATTTAAAGCAAATCAAATATTTTTGTTTAATTTTGTTCTTTTCATCAAAAAAATTTTTGTTTATTTTGTTCTTTTCCCAAAAAATCAAGACCTATTAAAAATATCACATATATTTTCAATTCAAGCGGGCAATATCTAAATCCGCATACATTGCAAACCAAAATGCATAATTCAATGAACAAACTTAATAAAATAGTGAATCTCACTAATAACAATTAGTGCAAAAATCAAAGTTTTAAAAAAAATTAATATACTACTTGGCCATGGAAAGAATATTAAGATATAAATAAAGTTATAATGATCTACTAATCGTGACATGGATGTATTATCATGGCCGAACTTAGTGATCCTGCTCTATTCAGTAGCATAGTCAGGCGCATCGAAAAGCAACTTTTTGCAGGGCCAATTGAGGAGAAATCTAATATGAAGATGGGGAGCAGAGTGGTGGTAGCGACTTATATTAGTGGTCGGACGGTCTGGTAGTCTGGACGATATGGGGTACTAATATTTTATGGATCTCTACAATCAATATGATGCGCTCGCATAACTCTATGCTTAAGGCCTAATGTTGCAGAGCTAGATTTTTCAGCATCATTTTGGATGACCCTTTATTAGGCACATGGCAACTTAGGTGAGGTGGTTTCAAACTAATGAAATTACTGAGATACTGACAAGGAACCCAAAGGAAATGCAATTCCTAGAACCGCCTAATCGAGTGGATCGGTTCAAAAGATTAAGATGCAATCCTCCCTTTCTATCGGCACCCCAACATTCTACAGAAACGGAAACATCCAATAATCGAGTTAAAGAAGGCAAGATAAAATGCCACAATGAGTTGATAGTTTACCTTAATTCTTGAATACAATTAGAGGATAGCAAATTCTCACTATCAACTCTAATTTAAAGCAAGAACATGCAAGAGGCATGATACAATTCTGGGGCCTTAAGAGATTCAAATTATGCAAATCCGCCATTTTAAGCATCTTAAAGGAGGCTTATTTATATGCCTCAAACAAACCTAAACTCTTAAGAAGAGTATCTAACTAGGCTGCCCTAAGGCCAAAACAATGGGCTAACTAGTACACACAGAAATAGAATCATTTTCCAGCCCAAATAAGACAACTTATATTGGGTGGCAATAATTGGCATGGCATCATAAAAATCAGCCCAAAACAGCTTAAATAAACACTTGAGCCCATATCCTTGCATATTTAATTAGACTAAAACAGCAAACAAGGATAAGACCACGTCCAAGCACACATCCCCTTACATATTAGCATGGCTGGGTGTTGCTACACACCCACAGCACATTGTCTGCAACATTGTAAGAAGCCTAAGGTGTGGCTTCAAAGTTCCACACTATGCTTGTTAAATGCCACATCATGAGATTTGTGTTAATTTGGGCTTGAACCATAATAAGGTATGGGCTGCCCGATGTCTCTTTGGCTTGACTT